CTGTCTTTGCTGCTGCTGCTGTCGCTGCTGCTGTTGCTGCTGCTGCTGCTGCTGCTGCTGCTGCTCTGGCTGGAGGAGAGGGGAGAGGCGTCTCGGTGTTCGTGTTGATGATGGGGATGATGGGGATGGTGGTGGTGGTGGTGGTGGTGGTGATGGTGGTGTTTGTGGTGGGGTTGTTGATGATGTGTTTGCTGTTTCTCTGCACTTGCTGCTGCTGTTGCTGCTGCTGCTGCTGTTTGTTCATCTGTCCCCAGCGCAGAGGCCAAGGCAAGAGGCAGCACTGCAGCAAGAGTAAGCTTCAGAAAGGAGGTGAGGGGACTGCTGTCTCCTTTTGTGTTTTCTTTGGTGTTAAAGCTAAATGCAAAAGGAGACAAGTGTCTCCTTTTGTGTTTCCTCTTTGCTTCTTGCTTTTCTCCCTTCTCCTGCTGCTGCTGCTGCTGCTGCTGCAGCTGCTGCTGCAGCTCGTGATGATGATGGTGCAGCAGCAGCCTGCTGCTGCCTGTGAACGCGGGGACAGCCCCCTCACTGTGCAGCACCGAAACAGCCGATCCACTGGGATCGTCTCCCGAGGCGATCCCCAGCTGTGGGGTCGTATCCTCCAGCACCCGTGCTTCCTGCGCGCCGCCTCTGCGGCAAAACAGAAAAAAAAAAAGAAAACAAAAGCCAGTTTTGTACACTCTTTATCTCTTCTTTATTATATTATTTTTATATACTAAAAACCCCGAACAGTAAACCCTATATTATATAATAATATTTTACTATTATACTCATTTATGTCTTATAGTCTTTAACAACAATAGGCAGAAAACAAAATACAAAAACAAACTCAAGCCCACCAAACCCTAAACCCTAAACCCTAAACCCTAATATGCTAGTAAACCCTTAGTCCCTACACAAACCCTAAGAACGACTACACAATTAATAAAGAAGAGAGATACCGCATACTCTGTGTATAGGTGACCTGGAGTTGAATACAGCCAACCCTAAACCCTAAACCCTAAACCCTAAACTATACAGTGAAGGCAGTATTGCGGGGAACTCTAAACCCTAAACCCTAAACCCTAAACCCTGATGTTGACTATCCAGATACCCCGAAATAGCATATCGAGTTGACGGTTGTGTACAAGGAAACCCTTTATTTATTTGTTGTATTATTTCTTTGTTATGTTTGTATATTTCTATATTAATTTATATTTATTAAATTAAATAAATTAAATTAATTTAAATTATTAATTGTGAGGTGTAAGCACAAACAAGTTAGTGTTAGTGGTGTTGATGAGGACTTACAAGGGGTCAACTAACTCCACCTGCACAAGGCCCGCACCCACCGGCGGCAGCTGCAGATTCAGCTTCTGCTGCTGCTGCTGCTGCTGCTGCTGCTGCTGTTGCTGCTGCTTCTGAGTCCACGCCTGCGTTAGCTTGAGGGGCGCTGGCCCCTGCAGGCCGCACCACTGCAGCAGGTCTGGTGCTGCTGCTACAATAGAAAGCGGCTGCTGCAACCCATTAAAAAAACCCAATATGAAATCTCCATCACCCAGCTGTCTACATATCACCTCTAAGCCGTCGGAGCCGTTGCTGCGGTGCACTGCAGCAGAAAGAGAGAGAGACAGAGACAGCAGAGGCACAAACCCTAAACCCTAAACCCTAAACCCTTAAAAACGAAAGGATGTAAGCGGCTTGAACAGTGTAGACACCACACCAACGGGAATAAAACAAAAACATAAAAGAAAGGAGATAAAGACGCTGGCGATAGCCTCAACACAGAAAGAAATTAAACAAAAGAAACAAAGCAAAGGCTCTGTACTAAGACTATGCAACAGACAGCACACACTGACCTGCGCCTGGGTGGGGATCAGTTACCGCCGTGAGGAGCACCCCGTCTTCTATGAGAGAGGCTGCAATAGACACAACAAACCCTAAACCCTAAACCC